GTTTTCTTTTTAGTTTTGGATTTTAGTTCCTAAAGCTGTGACCCTAATTATGTTGGCCTGGTCTTGCTTTTTTTCTTATAAAAGATAAACAGTTTTTGTCTGAGACATGTGTACAAGGAGACTATCCAGACAATAAGGCTTTATTTTTTATTTTTGTGACAGAATCTTAACCCAAACTAGCCTTGGACTTGTGATCCTCTTGCCTCAGCCTTCCAACTGCTGGGATTACAAGCATGTGTCACAACGCTGGCTGGGTTTTGAATTTTATTTCATTGTTTTAGTGGAGCATAAAGAACTAAAGCAAATTGACAATTTTTAAAATGATGATCACCTTTTAGCTATCTCATGATGGTTTGTTTACATCTTATTCATTAACAAATCAGTCTCTTGGATACATTGATATCTCCAGAGCACCAGTGGAGTGAGTGAAGATGTTCACAACCTTATTTTGGCATCTGCCTTCTACTCAAGATCTGTACTATTTGGTGTCATTTTGTTAGGATTCTGTTGTCATTTTCTCATTGTCCATAATTGGACAGATTGTTTTAAAGTTAATCCACATTGCTAGTAGCTACTGAGAGCAGCTCTGTTCATGGGTTTTGGCTATCATTTATTCAAATGGTTTCTTGGGTCAGAGAGGTAGGCAGAAGAAGAGTACATTTAAAGTGATACCCAGGTTTTTTTTAAAAAAAACATATTTGGTTGTTGCAGGGTCTCACTACGCAGCTCGGACTCATGGTGATCCTCCTGCTTTCAGCACCCCCCAGCACTGGGATTACAGGCATGCGCCACTACACCCAGACTCTGGCTGGCTCAGCCTGCCCTGGGGGCGGGGTTGGTGCAGCATGTGGTACCAGGGCTCGAACCGCAGTTGCTGTGCTTGCCTAAGCTTGCTTAAGCAGACGCTTTAGTCTGCTGAGCTATCTCACCAGCCCGATACCTAGATTCTTTTGGTTTTCCCCCTTGGCACTGAGCTGCATCCCCAGTCCCTTTTCCAAATTTTTTGAGTCTGTATCTCACTAACTTGCCTAGGCTTGGCTTCAACTTGTGACCCTCCTGCCTCAGCCTCTCAGAGTGTTGGGGTGCCAGGTTATTTCTAATTAGGTGAGACTCTGCTGTGCTTGAGCCTGTTGGTAAGAGGTCTCCCTGTGGCTCCATGCGCTGGCCTACGTAGGCCATGAGGGGCATCTGTTGGAGGCCTGGCCACCCTGGGATCCTTCCCAACAACTCTTCTGGTATGAGTGCAGACTCCTGCCTTGGCACAGGTCCTGGTTTCTCATCTCTGAGCTGTTCAAAACTGCTTCAGTTCAGTGTGAGAATAGTCCATTAAAATTGGAGCAGTTTTCTTTCTTTTTTTTTTTTTTTTTTTTGGAGGGGTTTTCTGATGCTCTGATATTCTTAACTGGCCTCTTCAGGGACAGAGGCTGTGGAGGGTAATCACTATTGGATATTATTTTGGCAATCTTGATTCTACTTGTTTTCTTTTCTTTCTGGAGACAGATAATTTTTGGAGAATCCCAATGGGAAGGAAATTAAAGCCTCAGGGCAGCTTCTCAGATGTATCTCAAAATGTTGCTGAGGACCTCACATGCTTCATATCCGCTCATCAGAGGCCCTTCTGTGATTCCTTAGCTCTGGTTTCCAGATTCACTTTATTCAGATGAATTTTTTTGGCTTTTTTTAAAATTTTGAGACCAAACCCTGCTGTCATGTAGTCCTGGCTGGCCTTGAGGGCATAGCAATCCTTTTGACTCAGCTGACCTCCTGAGTGCTTAGATTACAGGTGTGTGCCACTATGCTAGCCTATTAATTCATAACCCCTATTCATGGCCACGTTGTACAACAGCTACACAGACCTGCTGTTAGGGCTCCCTGAACACTTAAGATTTATGTTGCTCACTGTCTTCTCCCTGTTTGGGTGACAGTGCTAATGGTTCTAATGTCAACCTACGTTTAAAGTCATGGAGTCAATTACACATTAATGTCAAATAGCCACTGTGGGGCGGAGGGAAGACACTAGGTAGAGGAATATTAACTGTTCTAATTTGTGCTGATAAACTTCACTGATCAATGTAACATCTTTTTGGCTGCATGCGTCTGACATATCATCTTGCCTCATGTGTTTTCCATTGTTCTCTTTCCCAATAGACTAGCTCATGTTCCCTGCACACCTTTGCCCTTTTGTGCATAGTCTCCATCCTCACCCCTCTTCATCGCAGTTTCACCGTCTTCCTTTCTCCATCACCCTTGTGTCTCTTTCTGGCGGAAAGTATTGGTGGCTCAGCCTGCATGCCGCTCCCTCTCCTCTTGTGCTGGCATGTCATGGTGGCACTGTTGTGTTCTCTTCCTCTTCCTTTTTACTAACAGACGCAGACCAAACTGGAGCATGCCCGCATTAAGGAGCTTGAACAGAGCCTGCTCTTTGAAAAGACCAAAGCTGACAAACTCCAGAGGGAGTTAGAAGACACTAGGGTAATGGCTTTCACTATTTCATGAAGCAGCCCCTTGCGTGTGAGTGGTGGACGCTGCCGGTGACTTGCCTTGTGGTTGGCCCTGAGTGTGTTCTCGGCGCTGCTCAGGCATTGGAGCTCAGTGCGAAGGGCAGCCCCAGTGTTTGGAATCAGCTCTTTTGTCAGAAGTGGAGACTCACCTTTGCTTAACCTAGCCGCAACAAAGTGGAAACCTGACGGCTGCATGTACTCAGGGGCTGTGTGCACTTTGGATAACCACAGCTGCATCTGGGCTTCTTTGTATTAATGCCTTGAAATACATTTCTCTAGTTTGCCACAAGCAGTCAGTTGTCCTCTTGTTCTCATAGTCCTACTTACTGGGCTTCCTAAATTTATATTATTTCCTGCCTTTTACCCTCAGGCCTCTTGCAGGGAGGAAATTGAAACATTGGCTCTTTTTAGTTAGAGTTAAGGATGCAGATCCCAATTGTCTTTTTTTTTTTTCTTGATAATTGACCTGTCTTTGCATCTCCCTCCTATCTGTCAACCAGGAAATTGAAATCTTAGATGTCAGGAGGGCCTATGTGATGGGAACAGAGTAGAGTGGCTGCTTACTGACCCCATCTCACTGTGTTTGGCCCTTGGAGCCAGGGCACCAGGCATCTTTGCTTCGTCTGTGTGTGAAAACACTGTACGAGAGCTTATGTCATGCCACGTACTACCCAGAGTGCTTTCCAAGTACTATTGAATCTCAACAACTCTACGGTGGTATTATTGTTCCCATTTTTATAGCTGAGAACACTGAGGCACAGAGAGGTTAAACAGTTTGCTCAAGGTCACATAACTAATGGTAATAGTGGAGCCAGATTTGCATCTAGGCCAGGATTTGCATCTTGGCTCCAGAGTGTATTCTTAACCACCAAGGATGGAAGTGTATTATGGCTGTAGTTTTGTGCTGAAAGATCTAAGAAATAATCAGTATCACATATGAAGATAAATATTCATATATCCCTTTTAAATCATGCATTTGGCCATATTTGGTATTTAATATTTAAAAAAATTACTCTGTATCTGGTCAAATTTGAAATCCCAGTTTTTTTCTTTTGACTTATTAGTATTTGTAGAACTTTCTCTTGGTGAGAAATCACTAAAAATCTGGACAAGTGGGTAATCTCTCATTTAAGTCTCTACATTTTAAGAGGAAAATGCTTTCAGCCTCAAAATTAAAGATTTCTGTTACAGATTTGGGAAGACAAAGTGTGTGTGAGGGAATGGTAATTTGGTGCTATTTTTTCATTACCCAAAATCCTGATCTGGGAAATACAATGGACTAATGAGATGAGGTCCCTTTGTGTGACTAGCTACTAAAGTATGGGGAATATATGTATTTTATACATATATAATTTTTAAAAAAAACTTCTGAAAAAAAAATAAACTTCTGGACTCCTCTCCCATATCTTAATTTTGTCAGTAAAGAATGTCAGTACTGCTTTTTTTGCCCTCCTGAGAAGGTATCCATTTATAGCAGGGTAAAATGAAAGCTTGTGTCTTTCTATAATGATGTCTCCCGTGATGATCTTACAGTTGACTTGCCAAGTGAGAAATAAGCAGTGATCCCTATAAGTTTTATATCATCTACATTCCTTTTTGGCAAGTGCTTTAGAATTTCTTTAAATCTTCTGACTGTACCTGGTGCTATAGAAATATGAGCAAGAAGCAGAAATGACTCCTGACTTTTATGATCTCAACCTAGTGAAAGTGTCACATACATTGTTTCAACTGAGGCCAGGCTTTGGGGAATAAAATTAAAAATGGAAGTGCTTTTCCTTATTAAAATGTACATAAAGAATTATGTTATTGTTTTCACTTTAAAAGTTAAAAACCATATATATATATATTTATTTATTTATTTTAATGAGACAGAATCTTAAGTCACTATGTTGCCCAGGCTGGGCTTAAACATGTGCTCCTCCTGCCTTAGCTTCCCAGAGATCCCATGTACCTAGTTTGTTTTCACTTTTTCCTTGGCATTCTTTCAATTTAACTGCCTTGCTGTGTCTACCACAGTGGGGTATATTAAAGTTTTGTATCTCATATTTGGGACACAAATTCTTGGACTTTTCCCCTATCCCCCAAATAGCATGTAATTGAATCAACACCTTTAATTTGATGCTTCTGTAACCATTATAGCAATTTTACTCAGTTCAACCCTGCAGTTTTCAAGAATCAGGTACTTTCTTTTCCTTTTATGACATTTTATCAGTATTATAACCTAGATAGGTAGGCAGACGATATGAAAGGAAATTATCTGTAATTTTCCATCATGATAAAGACCATGTTGGAGAGGAGTCTTGAGTTTTGGAGTAGGTTTGATCCTTGACATTTGAGGACTCACTGATATTTTGAAATTACAGTATTTATATTCCCTTCTATTTCCCAGGTTAGTCAAATACTTGTTGTGCCCAAATTTACCCTTTTCCACAAATTCTGTGTATTAAACTTGCTGCCTAACAGGTGGTATTGGGAAATAATTTTTTAAAACTAGACACAGGTTAAGAATTTATTTTAGGGCCGGCCAAATAGCTCAGTGGATTAAAATGCCTGCAAGCAGGCCTGGGGCCAGGGGTTCAATCCCCAGGCCTGTGGTGCTTGCCCCGACCCCCGGGGTGTGCTGAGATGGTGATTGAGACTGGGCGTGGTGGCGCGCGCCTGTAATCCCAGCTGTTGGGAGGCTGCAAAAAAGGCGGATCACTACAAGTCTGATCTAGTAGTGAGACCCTGTAGACCCTTCCCTAAAATACAAAAAATAAAAAATTCCTAGCCATGGGGTGTTTTTTTTTTTTTAAACTTCCAGAGTTCAGATGGAATCACAGTCTGTGGGAGCAACTGGGAATCTGATTTTAGAAGTGCATTTCAATTCAGGTGATTTGTGTGCATGCTAATGCAGAATCCCATGCTAGGGGAACAAGACACATAGGTCAGATCCCCAAAGAGAGGGCTAACTGTAAAATTCTAGTGTATGATCACAGGTAAGTAATCATTCTCACTCTGTTGTTTTGAAACAAAAAAGTTTTTCATTATTCAGCTCAGGATGTCATACTATTTGATGCATTATTCATTGATACATTTGATAGGTAATTTTAGACCTTTTTTACCAGTGCTGTCCATAGGTGCATAATGTAAAATATATATGAATATATAGTATCTATGTTTGTTTATATATGTAATTGATGATTTTCATGTATTCAAATTCACTTTTTAATAAGTTACAAATGAAATTAATTTAAATTATTTAAATTAGTGTTCCTAAGATATTATTTTTTCATATAACCAATATAAAAAATTAAGATATTTTATATTCCTTTTTTTCTTGAAGTCTTCAAAACCTGATATGTGTCTCACAGCATCACTCACTCACTGGAGAAGAGTTGAATATTAATGTATTGTAGTTGTATGTTGCTAACAACTGTCTTACTGGACAGCACAGTTCTATAAATCACCAGAGTCAGATGGAAAAGGATTTATGTAGCCTTAGTGAAGTGGGTAGAAAACACTGGCTAGATAAGGAATGTCCCTTACCCCAGGAAGTAGATGTATTTGAAAATTTGAAACTCTGTTTCTGCTAAATCAGTTAATGATTTAGCCTGCTTAGAGGAAAAGGAAATATTTTCAAGAGATGTAAGCTTAGTATCCATTTTAGGTTCCTTTAGCATCTCAGAGTGGTGGAGGTTTGCCAAAGATGATAATTTTGAATTGAAGCCACCAAAATTAGTTTTAAGCCATTATCACAGTGAGACATAAGTTAACCTGTAAGCATTTGAAATAGCTTGATTGCTGCCTAAGATGGGGTACTACTTGAAGATCTTCATTGTTAAAATCATTAATGATTCATTATTTATTAAATGATCTCTTTCTTTGGCCTGCTGTTAATAGGTGGCTACAGTGTCAGAAAAGTCACGTATTATGGAACTAGAAAAAGATCTAGCATTGAGAGTACAGGAAGTAACTGAGCTCCGAAGAAGGCTAGAGTCCAGTAAACCTGCTGGGGATGTGGATATGTCACTTTCCCTTTTACAAGAGATAAGCTCTTTGCAAGAGAAGTTGAAAGTCACCCATACGGACCACCAGAGAGAAGTAACTTCTTTGAAGGAGCAGTGTGGATCCCGTGAAGAGAGCTATCAGAAGGAGATTAAGTCTCTGCACTCAGCCACGGAGAAGCTTGCCAAAGAAAATGAGTCCTTGAGAAGCAAGCTAGACCATGCCAACAAGGAGAATGCTGACGTGATAGCCCTGTGGAAGTCCAAGCTCCAGACCGCCATTGGGTCTCACCAGCAGGCCATGGAAGCACTGAAGGTGTCCTTCAAAGGGCTTGGCACAGAGACAGCAGAATTGGCCGAGTTAAAGACACAAATAGATAAACTGAAAGTAGATTACCAGCAGGAAATAGAAAATTTGCAGAATAAACAAGACTCTGAACGGTCTGCTCATGCTAAAGAGATGGAAACCTTGAGGGCTAACTTGATGGGCATCATTAAAGATAAGGAGAGCAGCTTAGAAGCCATCAAATCCAAACTGGACAAAGTGGAAGACCAGCACCTGGTAGAAATGGAGGACACGTTAACCAAATTGCAGGAAGCTGAAATAAAGGTAAAGGAGCTAGAGATACTGCAAGCCAAATGCAATGACCAAACCAAGGTTATTGATAATTTTACATCACAGCTCAAGGCAACTGAAGAAAAGCTCTTGGATCTTGATGCACTTCGGAAAGCCAGTTCCGAAGGTAAATCGGAAATTGAGAAACTTAGACAGCAGCTTGAGGCAGCTGAGAAACAGATTAAACATTTAGAGATTGAAAAGAATGCTGAAAGTGGCAAGGTTTGTATCATATTAACATCCTTCATGTTATCTTTTTTTCTTTCATTATTATTTTTCATTATGTGTTACTTTTGAGTTGAGGTCACTCATCTTTCAGATTTCTGATTTAATGAAAACAAGTGGTTCTTCAGTTTGAGTATAGTGTCTTTTGAGGGTATGGAGTATGGTTTCTATCTGAGGAGATTAGAGAAAATAATGGCCCACTCATGTGAATTTATTTTGGTTTCTCAGAATCTGAGCCTTTTGTCCATTATTTTATGCCTTGGCTATGACACAAACTCCTGTTGAAACTTAGTTCCAGGGGCTGGGGAGATAGCTCAGTAGAATAAGCGCTTGCCTGGCAAGTGCAAGCGTTTGAGTTCAATCCCTGGTTCTACCAAAAACAAAACAAAACAAAAACACTTAGTTCCAGCCTGTATTCTCTGTTTAAAAATGGAGAACTCCCCAAGATGAGAGTGATAGGGTAAATGAATGAATGAAGAGAGGAAGTTATGAGGCTATCTCTTCCCTTTCCACCACATCACTACCTTGGCAATAGGGTTATGTATAAAAACGGTGACTTCTCAGTGCTTCTTGACTGTTGTTGTAACGTGCTATGATAAATAATATTTCACATCAGGAGTGCGTAAAGTCAAGGAGCCCAGAGCCTTTTGAATTGCCACTTACATTTTGGTAGAAATTTTTTTCATGCCATAAGAGGACACAATCCATCCTTTGCTTTTTTTGAGAGTAGACTAGAGAAGAGTCCTTTTGTTCACACACAGGGAACTATGTGCTGGCTGCACTACTTATTAACCAGACCTGTCAACCTCATGTTGAAGGACTGTTTGAGGACTTCTTTCTCTGTCCTTCCTTAGTTGGGGCCTGATACTGATGCTCAGTGTCTTGAGCTTTGTGGTAGAGCTTCTCTACTGGCAAAAAAGAAAGGCTGTGTTGTTTAAATGGGGAGTTGTGAGGGAATAAACAGAGTTGCCAGTGACTGTAGAAGATGACAGGCTGCTGCAGGAAGGTGTTCTCCAGTCTTCCCACTTCCAGAATACCAGTCAGAATTCAGAAGTTAATTGGATTTAAACATTGAAATACCTAAGCATATCCCCAAATAAGGAAAAATAACATAGACTACACATAAAGGCTTTTATTTTAGTTTATATTTTGGTGATGGATATTGAACACAGGGTCTTGCAAATGCTGAGCATGGGCTCTGCTGATGTGCTATAACTTAGTGTTGTTTCTACAGTCTAGAAAATGAAATTGGTTAGTAGCTCATTTCAAAAGTAAGTGCTAACACTTTCTGCTTTAGAGATGTTGGCAGTCCAAATTTAAGTATAGCAAAATAGTTATTTTGACTTAAAATAGCCTTTAATATGATCATATCAAGAAGGAATTGGAAAAAAAAAAGGAATTGGATGGGGTTGATGGCAGGTGCCTGTAAAGTCACACTGCTGAGGCAATAGGATGATTGTGAATTTAAGGCCAGTCTGGACTATGAACTGTGACCCTGTCTCAAAAAAAAAAAAAAGGAATTATTTGCTGGCTGTGGTGGCACATGTCTGTAATCCCAGCATTTAGGAGGCTGAAGCAGAACTGCTGAGTTCAAGGCCAACTTGGAATACATAGCAAGACCTTGACTCAAAATAACAAACAAATTATGGCTGGTGAGATAGCTCAGCAGTCTGAAATGCCTGCTTAGGCAAGCTTAGACAGGTGCAGGAGACTGTGGTTTGATCCCTGGCACTACATGCTCTGCCAGCCCCTCAGGGCAGGCTGAGCCAGAAAAAAGAACAAATCAGTGGCTTCTTAGAATTATGAAAATTATTTTTTTGTTCCTTTCAGTTTTGTTTTCTTCTGTTTTTCATAATCTTTTAAATTATTATTTTTTGTTGTTTTGTTTTCTCTTTGTTCATTTACTTCTATACCATGTATGGCTGTATGTTAGGCTAGTAGCATTACCAAAGAGCTCCAGGGGAAAGAGCTAAAGCTTATTAGCCTGCAGGACAATCTGAGTGAAGTCAGCCAAGTGAAAGAGGCTCTGGAAAAAGAACTTCAGATTTTGGTAAGTACCTG